AACCTCGTGAGAATGGCCATGCCCAAACTCAACTATGAGACCCTTTATGAAGATGCTTGGTATGTGGACCAAGGGGAGAGAAGAGAGTTGCTTCAATGCATAAGATAAAAATCAAAAGTCCATACAGGGTGGCTATATGCATGCTCCTAGAATGTGGGACTAGCGTGGCACTAGTATTCTAAACGACCAATTGGAACAATTTATCGAATAGTTGTTGCTGTAGAAAAGCCCATGACCGAACTATGAAATGTGTGCAAGTGTGCATTTGTTACCTTTTCATTAATGATGAGTCCAAGAGGAGACAAAGTGCTCTACTTTGAACAAAATATGTGTAATAACAAATTTTAAACATATAAAGAAAATAGCAAAGATATAAAAATTCTAAATCATTACAAACCATATGGAAATGGGGGGTACAAGTTTACGAATGGGAATGAGTCAAATCGATAATACGATAAATAATCTAAATAAACAAACAATACAACTCAGTCGAAATTAATTAAATAACTAATTAAACTAAGTCATCTATTTAATAAAATTAATTAGAAAAATAATTAAGTATATAAAAATAATATTTTAGTTTAATTATTTATTTAGGAAAAGAAAATATATTTTTGTATATTTTTATATTTTTTTATATTTTTTTAATTGATAGAAATCAAAATAATTAAACAAGATAATATAATATAAACAAAAATAAAGGAAATTATATAATGGGCCTGAAATAAGAAATTGGAGGGGGTGCTGAAAGGAATTTTTTTAAGCCCAAGGACAAAAAAAAGCCCACTACGCTGGATGGGGTTTGTGGGTTCCAGTGTGGCTGCTCCAAGAAGTTCAGCATGGGTGTGCAACTTCTGAGCATTGGATGATGATCCGCTCGATCATGTATGTGCGTCTCCAGAAAGGATCACCATGGTCTTTCAATTCTGGTACTTTGATGACCATCTCAAAGCTATGGATTGAGGGTGCTCTGTAAGTCTGTTGGATGCATCGCATGGGATCCGTTATAATGATCAACCAGACGGTGACAAGTGTCACTGCCGGATTAGGCCCAGTAAATGATGCTTTTTAACAAAACAACTAAGTTAATCGTAATTAACACAAATCAAATAAGTTTCCTCTCTCTGTTATACTCTCTCTCACGTTCCTTATTCTTTTCTCTCTATATTTCTTCAAACACAAACATTAAAACAATAAATAAAAAGAAAAGAAACAGATCTACAACGGTTGAGATGATAAAGATTGACGGTGGCTTTGATGAGGATCTACGGCGGCTATGATGAACACACGACAACGATGATGAAGATCAACGGCGGCGCTGATAAAGATGATGGAGGCGTCGCCGTTGATTGCTCTGATCTCAACTTTTCTTGTGTATTCTTGTTCGCCGCCTCCTTCTGAACACGAATCTGATGTCTGATTTTGCAGATTCTAAGTAGCTTGACGTAGATCTTGAAGGAAGTTTTGAAAATCCAAGGTGTTATATGAAGGCGAGACACGGTGACGATGATGATGAACGAAGGAGGTGTCGCTTTTGAGCTTTCTCGGTGAGTTCTCTCCGACTTTTAGTTTGTTTCTCTGTAACGTATACTTTTCCTCTTCTCTTTCTCGAATTAAAATTCTGAAGGATTTGGGATCTGTGGAAAATAATGAAGGGTTTTTGGGTTTGTTGTGGTTGCTGCATAACTTTTCTTTCTGTGTATATCCTTCCCCCTGATTCCAATGCCCTTGAATGGTTTATAGCTGAGATATTTTTAGGGTTTGATTCTTGTTTGTGAGTTTGCTGATATTTATTTAACAGGCTTGCTGATTTCGTTCTTGGGCTTTGCAATATTTTTGATCTGTTATTATTTTTCTGATATATTTTCTGAGATGCCATTTTTACTGATATCTGCCTCTTGATGTTATTGGGCTGAGACTTGATTTTTGCGTGTGGGCTTGAGTATGATTGAAACATTGTTTATGTGAACTATTTTGTTGGACCTGTGATGTTTCTTATGTGTGATAACAAACTGTTTTGCTGGGCTGGACTGTTGCAATCTTGAGTTTGTTTTCATTTTTTGATATTTGCCTTGCAATGCTGTGATGATGTACTGCTGAGTTTTGCTGTTATTTCTTGTTATGTTGGTCCAGAACTGTGATTATGACTTGTTGTTTGTTGGGTTGAAATTTGCGATCCTGTACTTGCCAGACTGTGATGTTCTTTTTCTGAATTATACTGGGGTTGTGATTATGTACTGCTGAGGTTTGCTGCTTGTTGCATCTGTTATTGTTCTTTTTTCTGATAACCTAATTTTTGTTTGTTAGACTGTGAACTTTGATGCTGGACCTTCTGATTTTTTTGATAACAGACTTGCTGATTTAGTTTTACTTTTGGGCTTGACAATTATTTCTTATTGTTGTGGTTTTGTTTGCTGAGATAAGATTTTTTTTTGTTCGGGCCGGACTGTGATGAGGCTTTTTCTGAGTTTGTGATTCCGATTTGGGTCTCTTTGCTTTTGTCTTACTGTGAACCAAATTGAATTTGTGATTTGTAGTGAAGATGAAACTTGGCCCCTGATTATGTATTGAAATTCTGATTTTATTCTTGAAACAAATGGATATGAGGCTTTGGATTTGGCTTAACACATGATTGAAAATCAAACCTAAATTATGATTCCTTTACAAAACCCTAATGATGAACCTTGGAGAGGAAATTCTTCTTAGAAAATTCTTTGTTTTTGTTCAAGTTCAAGTTTCTTTGATTGTTTACTAACAATTTTTATTCTTATTGTTTCATGAGAAAATGATGGTCATGGCATGGAGAATGAAGAGGAGGTAATCGTGGCTAGCATGAAGCATTCTTGTAGATCTGTTTGGAAGACGTTATGAAGTGAGAAGGTTCGAAGAAGAAAAAGTCTTGGAGGAAGATTCAAAAGAAAATCCATGAGAAACTCTATAGGATTAGGCTTATTAGTTTAAGAATTCCTCTTGATTTTGCTTTGTAACCTTAAGACTTGACTTAGAAAAAAGGGGGGGGGGGGGGGGGGGGGGGGGGGGGGAATGATGGATACTTGTTATTGTGAATGATGAATGGACTTGAAAACCATGAGACTTTGTAGAATTTGCACTTGAAATTGATAATGACATGGTTTTGAAATAATGATCACAAACAAGTCTCCAAATTCCTTCTCATTTCCAAACTTGATAAAATGTCAAAATATTTTAAGCAAGACAATCAAAACAAATAACTTCCCTCCATTAACTCCTTTTTTAGAATGCGTCCTAGTAATGCACTCTAATAAGCCCAAAAAATGATATACTCTTGCACAACAGGTCCAAATTTTATCCTCAAAAAGATTATCTAACAAGTGATCTCAAAAGTTATTTAACCATAGGAATAAGATAAAATCTCTTAGTGAAAGTCCACATAGAAAAAAAGCCTTTTTACTCACTGAATCTCAAGAACGAAATCTCGCCTTTGGAGAATCTTCTAGAAAGATAACAAAAAATGGAATCAGAGAAGAGAAATTTCAATGAACCTCGGTTGGTGATTGAGCGTGTCCTGCGATAAAGCTCGGGATGATAATGCTTCAAAGATTTTTGTCAAGAAAGATGTCACAAATTCAATAATCAAAACTCTGGCGCAAAAGCCAAATGGATAGGAGAAAACGTTGATCATCTTCAATATACTTGCCCATTCAAACTTCTGATGAATTAAGGAGACATTTAAGATATCCTGAAGTATGGGAACCTCGCGTAGCTTGAGTGACCCAAAAATTGAGGGTCTAAGACTCATGTCTTCAATGATTGATGAAACAACCAACTTCATAATTTTTAGAAAATCATGAAAACCAAAAGGTACCTTGATCTTGTCTCAAAAATGCATGAATGCGTATGACGAAACATAAACCACAAAAGTAAGATGAATAGAGCAAATTTTAGGGTACAACAATAATTATATTTAAAATTTAAATTTATATAATTAATTTATGAAATTACGATATTTTAAAATTTTATTAGAGTCGTGATTATTTTTTTAAAAACATAGTTATCTAAGTCAATCTAACAACTATATAATTTATAAATATTGATTTATTCAATTCTGTTTTGTCATGTGATTGACCAATAACTCAATCATTTTACCAAAAATAAGTGATCTAATACTCTGGATGATTAGATGACCGGTGATTTTTAAATTATTTTAAATGCAAAAATATAATTTTGATTTTTACCTTTTACTCGATGTTCTTTTATTGTTTTTTCTTAAAAAAATTAAAGTAATTTTATTCGGTTTGGTAGTTTATTATTTTAAAATTTTATTTTATTTTTTATATTCAGTAAAATCACATTTTCAGTCTTCTCTGTTAATTCTAAGCTGAAGTTAACCTCAACTCTAATTGAACTGAAATGAAGAAATGGCATGCAGAATTAGGGTTTCATGCATAGCAAGAAACAGTTACAGAAGAACACCACACATCTTCTCCTAAATCCCCACAATTTCTTGTTCCACCAACACTCCAATTCATCTTCAACTTCAAATTCAAATCCTTTTCTCCTCAAATTGCTTCACCTCCCAAATTCCCACATCAAAACAATCTCCTGAAATTCAAGTCATGAATTTCCCTCCCGACGAGTTTGGTTTTCAATTCGCTTATTGATGTATGCTTGTTTTCCGATGATATTGTTACGGCCAAAAAAAATGTATCACTATTTTCACCAAAAAAAACAGAAATTTGTTGAAATCAAATATCAATACAACTTGTAATAGTTACAAATCCAGCAAAATATATTGGTAAAACTAGGATGCACAAGAAAAATTAGCAAATGTGACTGGTTTATTCAATGGAAATGGTGTCTACTTGTATTTAAGATGAAATCATAAATCATATCATGAGAGAAAGCAATTCCATCTCTTCCAGAATTGAAATTCTAATCTAGTCACTTGTTTTCAGACATGAACTCCACAGGAAAGGCTCGATTAAGAGATTTGAAAGCACCTAACAGACTCAATGACTCGATTACTTCAAAGGTAGCAACGACTTTATCCAATCTTTCCACGGGGCGTCCTGTTGTTGCTCAACCCAAGACAAGAAACAGCTATCCAACAGGCAGAAGAAGTTCACATAAAGGAGCTGATACCTTACAGGTACGTAACGGAAATTCGCAACCTGAACAACTGGCCATATGCCTCCTTCCAAAACCAAGGCAGGGAGAAAGTCTCTCTTCACATCTTCTTTTATCTGAGGAACACTCTTTCCGGTAGAAAAACCCATGTAAGTAAAAAACACAAGTAAATCCAGCGGTCCAAAGAGAAATCCATCTGCGGCAACTTTGGCAGCAACGAAGCGGAAGGAATTGGGCTTAAGCAGGAGTCTCAATCTTATAAACCGATCCAAACCTTCATACCTGTAATGATTAATATAATTAAAACAACGAGAATTGATAAGTTGGTTTGTTTGATTGCAGAATAAATAGAACTTGCTATCACCTCTTTCCCCCAAACGGAGAAAAACAAACATGCTATAAAAAGTCTTTCCTTTTCTTATTCAACATGGTAAGACTGCAACTATAAGTATTTCAATGAGTAGAAGAACAACTGCTAGAAGCACTGTTGTTAATAGCGGAAAATAGCAGTTAGCTGTTGAGAAAGCCATGCTGCTATAATGCAACTTTGAAGTTTGAACACCATTTTTATATGAATAAAAACTTCTACTAATTAGAATAAAAATTACTACTTCATCTCTGAAGCAACTTAAAAAACCTTTCAAAGCCATCCAAGAAAACTACTCCTCATTCAGGATCAGAAAATACGCGAAGAAAGAAACCTTCCACAATAACAGCACCAATGAATAATCGGCCAAAATAATTTTAAAATGGTGATGCTTTTTACCAGAAGTGGCCAACAGGGCCAACAAATGCCAATCCAAACAAGCTGGTGGTAGACACCCGTTTCCAGTTGATCTTGAATTCTCTATTGTCATCCTGTGAGTGAGACTGTTAATAAACAAGAGAAATAAGATTATTAGATGGGTGTTCCCGCAAAGTGTCACATCATCATATACTACCTCTGTCCCATACTAAACGCCATGAAAAAAAGTGCCAAAATCATGTACATAAATACTAATCAGTTGAGTTTCTAAAATGTTTCTAACAAATCATTTTCTATAAACATGTCTTTTGCAGCTTCACCAAACCCAGAAAAAACAGTGAATATCATTTGTCTTACTATATTTGGAGGAATGAAAAAGTGAAATTTCTCTAGAGTATAGTCACAAATAAATCAAATGTTTCTATAAAATTTTACAACACCAAAAATTTTAAAGAGCGTCGAGTGTTTTAAAGAACAAGTGTATATTGACTGCATTATCCTGTAATCTTTTCTAAACTCGGTATCACAATTTAAATCCATAACATAGGTTATCAAGTCGTGATTCTGACTGTGAATCAGAAAACCAATTTTCTGAATCGTGAATTGAATCTTATTATGAATCGTTAGATAGATGATCAATAAAAGTAAGACATTTTTAAGACACATAAGATGGAAAAAAAAAGCTAATATGGTCGTAGATGAATTTCAAAATAATTCAATATTTAAATCATAAACCAAATAGAGAGCAACAATAACACAACAGAGCAGCAAGTAGAAAGAGCGCATGAGGTATGGAGAGCAAAGAGAGTGTATTATCTTCAAACGAGATAAAGAGTGCCAAAAATCAGAGAAAAAAGTTAAGATATGGGCAGGAAGAATTATATAGGAGTATTTATTGAAAAAACACATTTAGGAGGGAATGCAAACCAAAAACACATTGCGCTAGGGTTGTTTGTTTGTTTGTGCAGCTGACTTGGGTTATTCAGCAGGTTTGATTTTGGTCGATTATGTACCATTTAAGAAAGAAAAGAAAAATTACTTACGACCTGAACAGGCATTTTAGAAACCAGGTTTCGCAACTCAGCCCGTTTCTGTGTTGCATTCACATAAGAATTCATATCATGCAATTCAATGTATCAACTGTGTTTGATTTTATTTCAATTGAAGATCCGAATCGCACGAATCATAAGATAACACTGCTTTGCATTGACATAGTTTCTTTTTCTATACCCCTCTGTTTATGGTTCGAGTACAAAACTAAGGTCTAAGGATATGTTTCCAAAACTGCATTTGCACTGAAGCTGCAATTATGGTTGTATCAGAAGCACTTGCTCACAATTTTCTGCAATTTTTGTAATCGCAACACAATTACTCTCAAGCACAATTCGAAACCATTGCATTACTATATTTACCTTTTCCCTACTGTTCTTTTCTTTCTGCGATACAAGTGCAAAAGGGTGTGTTTGGAGTATCGACAGATGGCCGTCATTTGAATGACGGCAGAAAATAAGTACCGAGATCTTTCAAAGCAACATAATAAAAAAATACTCAAAACAAATGATTAAAATGAAGTAAAACAACAATGGAAACATGCCAATACCTCTCCTTGGCATTCACAACCTTAAATTTTTTTTCTTTTCAGATTTTCAGGTTCAAGGAGGAAGGACCAAAGAAAGAGACCGATCGTTGATCTATCTTTCCTTTCCGTCCTTTTTCTATATTCTATGAACCTCCACTAAAATTACATGAGTGTTTATAAGGGTTTCAAATGTAAATTACCAACTCTACTCCATTGAAATCCCTTCCCTCTTCTCAAGTCTCAACCAAACAAGATATCTCATTCTAAATCTCTCCTCCCCTTGTTTGAACCAAACAAACTCTACTTATTTAGTTTAGACACTCTCTACCTATGAAGCACATACACCAGAAACATGACACTCACACGTCACACGTCGACACCATTAATAATTTGAAAAAGTGAATAAAATAAACGTAACCACAAGTGTTTGTGGACACCAACACTGAGCCACCTTTTTTCAGAGGTGTCGGTGATACAAAACTCTCTATGACCAACAAAACCTCATTCCCCTTGGAGTGTGACATGAAAACATTGACAATCCTCACCCATTTTCCTAACTTAAAAACAAACTCACGTCATAAAGGTAAGAAGAAAACACCCACATTTGTGTGCACACTGCACAATCTCAAACCCTTCTCACCACAGCTTCCAACTCCACCAACTCAACAACACAAATGCAAGTCAACATCTCAAATTAACAACAAAAACTAAAACAAACCCATCACCAATTCAACAATCACATGCAAAATAAAACACACCAAATTTCCAAAAACAATCTTTTTCCAAAGGGTACCAAAACCTACCTCGTCTGTAGTGCGTTTCTGGGCAGTGTAATGAGTAACACACTGAGCAGCAACATCACCAGCACCCCAAATGAATCCAGAGCTAATAACCTGCGTCTTAACAGGATGAACAACCAAACACTTTTGGTACCATCTCCACAGCTTCAACATAATCAAAAATATTCAAAACAAACGATTCAAGAAATTGGGTGTTTTTGTTCTTGATCATGGAAAATTACAAAACCCTTTTTCTTGATTCACTCAAACGAGCATAAATTCGGCGCTGAAGGAGAAAAAAATTGAATTTTTATTTTTGAGGAATAGTACTTTTGGTATTGTTTATTGATTTAGTTTCTATTCGAAGTTGGTTTTGAGGAATTCGTTTGGTTTCGTTCGATTAAAGACATTGAGAAAAGAAGAAAAGAATGAAATTGGGTCAGAGAGGTGAAGATGAAGAATTGTGAAGTTCAGGTTGAAATTTCTTCCATTGTTGGTGGTAATATGGGAAATGTATCTACTTGGTAGGGGTAAAAATGTACCTTCAGTTCATTGTACTTTTTATGGGCCTAGGTTTATGAAGGCCTTTGTTATCCACACCCTACTTTTTAATTTTCACCCCATCTTTTTTGATGTTACTTGCAATTTCTTTATACATCCTTATGGTGTGAGTTATACCTCCGAAAAATCTAAAATTTCTTTTAAAAATATTTAGAAATCCATCTTCGAATGTATCATGAATAATTTTTGTCAAAATTTAGTTCGAAGATGCATTTTCTATTATTTTTTAGGTGAATTCGAAGATGCATTTTCGAACACTCTTATTTCAGATATGCATCTTCGAAAACTCTTATTTCGGATGATATGGATGGAGGCGATACCCGATTAGTTAAGGATGAGCTCCTCCCTTTCTCTTCCATATGAGGGATGCTCAGTTCGATGCCATCAATTTAACTAAGAGTTGTTTCCCCTTCCCTAAGAAATTTCCCTCATATGAGGTAGACTGCCTTAAGAGAGAGCTTGTCTAGTCAACCCTTGGACTTCCTTGAGCAATTTGAGGATCTTTCTTGAAATGTTTTGAGAAATATGGGAGGGTAAATTTTGGGGTACAACACATACGATGGAAAAGAAAATCCTACGGGCAGGTTATTACTGGTCTACCATGGAGGAAGATTGCTATCAACACTCTCGAACCTGTCACAAGTGTCAGATCTATGCTGACAAGGTGCACGTACCTTCGGTTCCTCTGAATGTCTTAACGGCTCCTTGGCCCTTTGTTATATGGGGCATCGATATAATTGGGGAAATCAAGCCAACAACCTCTAATGGAAACCGCTTCATCTTGGTGGCCATTGACTATTTCACAAAGTGGGTTGAGGCGGCTTATTTCGCTTCGGTTACCAAGAATGTTGTAGCCCGGTTCATCAAACAAAATCTCATATGTCGGTACGGTATCCCAGAGAGAATCATCACTGTATATGGTATAAATCCCAACAACACTATGATCACCGCACTGTGTGTGCAATTCAAGATCCAGCACCACAATTCTTCCCCTTACCGACCAAAGATGAATGGTGTTATCGAAGCCGCAAATAAGAATATCAAAAAGATCATATAGAAAATGACAGTCACATACAAAGACTGGCATGAGATGCTACCATTCGTTATCCATATTTATCGTACCATGGAACGCACATAAACTGGGGCAACACCCTACTCTCTGGTATACGGCATGGAGGCTGTCTTGCCTATTGAGGTCCAGATCCCCTCTCTGAGAATCATGAAGGATGCAGGGTTGAATGAAGACGATTGGATCCAAACTTGACTTGATCAACTGAACTTGATTGATGAGAAAAGGCTTATTGTTGTCTGTCATGGTCAAATGTATCAAAAACGAATGATCAAGGCTTTCAACAAAAAGGTCAGACACCAAGTATATCAAGTAGGGGATTTGGTGATCAAGCGCATCATACTGCCGCAAGGTGATCCCAGGGGAAAATAGACTCCTACATACGAAGGACCGTTTGTGATCAAAAGCATATTCTCTGGTGGAGCAATGATCTTAACCACTATGGATGGTGACAACCTGCCGCATCCTGTGAACGCATACATAGTCAAAAGATGTTACGCATAAGAGACCCGTTAGGTTGACACACATAGGAAAAACAAGGGCATCCCGGCAAACCAAAAAGGTTCGAGCAAAAATTAGGGATAAAACAAAGAAAATTGTACACCCGGCAAGTTGAAAACCCGAAAGGGAGACTTGGGCAAAAAAGGGTATCCCGGTGGACTGAAAACCCGAAAGGGCGGTCCAGGCAAAAGTTAGAGAATTAAAGCGTATGACTATGTCCCGTTGGATCACCTTTATGGACAACCTTTGGCTTCGACTGACAAATTCAGCGTTTCTGATCAATCCAATCAACTTCGGACAAGACAACAAATGGACAAGACGCTCAGAAACACTAGGGCTATAGTAGAATGGGAACCCCATGGGATTATTGCACATAGCTATCTTTTCTTTGTATCAAATTTTCATTTTTACGACGACATTCTCTTACTAGGATGTTCGTCTCATTGTACAAAATACTTATTCAAGTTAATACAAAGATACTCCTTTGAAAGTGCAAAACTATTTATTTTTCTTTATTTCTGTGTTTTCTTTACAAAAACGTCCAATGATTTATTTTTGAGCATATACATTTGAACATAACTACTGTTTACAAATGAGCAAAAAATAGAAGACAATCACTAATGGCTTTAAGAAATAGGATGATATATTTAGACTATTCCATAAAATTCCTCACAGTGTGAAGCTTAATGATACCAAGCTCTCTCGTATCCCCAGCAGAACAAAACTTCCAGTTATCAATCCTCGGTAAAGGTCGTCCAATTTCTCAGGATCCTCAACAGGATTTCACAAGCCACACACGGTGTTTCCCTTACAACAGAGTTTATTTCTCTAAAAAATAGGAGCTCATCAACTCATCAACACTTCAAAACATGAAGACTTACACTCCACGTCCCCAACAGCAGTCAGGGTTTTATTTTCCCTAATCCAACAATAATACAGCAACATAGTTTATATGCCTATACATCTGTTGGCTCCTAAATTCGACACCCTTGTTTTTATTATTATCAGCCATTAAAACTGAAGGATGGTTTCGACCAGTTGGTTCTGTCGAAGTGCTCGTCAGAAGATGGCAATGTACTTAGAGAATTTCTTCCAAGGGAGAATTTGGTTGCCTTCGACGTCGAAGGTGTTTCTCGTCGAAAATGCTTCTCGACGAAGGTGTTCGATTGTTTAGAGTGGAACGGTTTGAGATTCAAACGTTTGGAGGGAAAACGGTTCCCAGCGGTTACCAAGTGCAACGTGCCAAGATCTGGAGCGTCGAACGCTGTGAACGTGCCAAGTGGAGTCATCTCGAAGCAGTGTAACTGCCCGACGGTTACTTGGGATGTGTTTAGTATAAATATTAGTAGTTCACGCAGTTTTTCGCGTGTGTTCACAATTATATACAAGTCACTCATATAGATTCGAGTACCCAGCGTGAGAGAAAGAATTGTTGAGAATGTATGTGTGAAACACCACTTTATTAATCAAAGTCATTTATTTTCCAGAAACTTTACTTGCTTTCTCCTTTACTTTTCCAGTCGAAAGCCTTTATTTCAAGCCTTACTTTATTTTATCAAGTTCTCTTCTTCATGTAATTTACATAAAGCTTCTTTATTTTCTTGTCATTTAATCATTACCAAACTTAGTCAAAACCCCAAAATCAACCATGTCTTAGGATCAATCTGATCGATCCTGCGAGTCACCAAATAAGTAACCTTTTGGAAGATCAGCGGTTGTTTACCAATTCCCAGGGTAAACAAATTGGCACACCCGGTGGGACTTTGTGTTGATTTTGAAGTTTAACCTTTTTTTTACACAGATTATCATCTTTTTCGAGAAGTATTGCATGTTATTGAGAAGTGGTAGAATATACACTAACAATACCAATACTGCCAGAAGAAGAGAAGCGATGGCGAATCCGCCAAACAATAACGAAATCCCACAAACGAATGTGGGAACAACGGTTATCCCAACCGTAAGTGAAGCGATAATCGCTGGTTCGACACCAACAGTAACGTTCACAACAACGGGGCCATTACCTCCGTTCACAGGCCCCAGAGTGCCTTTAGGAACTCCCCCACCAAGGGGAAATCCAGGAACAAGGCCTTATGTTCCCCCAGGATTTATGACAGGCGATCAAAATCGAGAACCACTCTATGGCATGCCAACGTCTGAATTGGCTAGCCTGATGAACGCTGCGTCCACTTTTTCAGACCCTTTAGTGAGTGCCTCTTCGCCACTCCAAGGTTCTGGAGTAGGTATGGCGAACAGAAATTGGACCCAACTCTTAGGAGGAATGTCCCAAGTAGCACATGGCCTTACAAATGCCTCGACAGCAGTCTTGATGCAACAAATGGACGAAAGCAACCATGATATGGTTCAAATGTTGGCACAAACTTTAAGTACAGTGTTGAACCCTCTAATACAAAACACCACCCAATCGAATCAGCAGATGACAGCGCAAATGACGCGTTTGGCTGATTTCTTTGGAGTACCCCAACCTATTCGACAGCCCCAAAGGGCGCAAATAAGGGGAAACCAAGGTATACTCTTAGAGGAAGAAACCACTATCAACCAAGTCCAGCAGCCTGTCGAAGAAAACCTTAGGGCACGATTGGAGTAGCCTGTCGAAGAACCTAGGGTTATAGCCCCAGAGGTAAGGTTAGTTAACAGAAACCAAAATGCTGATGAAGTGGTTCAGCATATCCAATACTAGAATATGGGTTTGGAAAATAATCTGGCAGCCAAGATCGAAAGAATCATGACGCAAAACGGGATGAACATGGGCTTTCGAAGGCCCAACTTCACATCCCCACTGTCAGAATACGTGTTACAAACAGACTTACCTCCTAGATATAAAGTCCCTAAGTTCACTAAATTCTCTGGGGACACGACAGAATCTACTGTCGAACATGTGGCGAGATACTTAATCGAAGCAGGAGATATTTCAAACAACGAAAACCTGAGGATTAAGTACTTCTCAAGTTCTTTAACAAAGAACGCTTTTACTTGGTTTACAACTCTTCCCCCCAATTCGATCCATCATTGGACCCAGTTGGAG